GCTCTTATTTGCAAGTAAGTTTCGATGCACAACCATGATTGCTAAACTGTTTACCTCTGAAGGGATCTGGTAGGCTCAGCGGAAATGCACAACACAATTTAAAGATTTTCTTTTTAGGTCTATGTTTCATTGGTGGCATTCTAAATGGGCAGAAAATGAGGGACAAGCATTAAATGTAAAAAACAAAATCAGGAATCAGACTCTGTGGAGAAAAAAAAAAGTGAAAACTCATATTAGTGCTTGTTGCCTTCCACTCTTGTAGCGTGTCCTCCCAGTTTGTCCCCAGGGTGATGTTTCCCCCCTGAGGGAGGCGTCCAAAGGGCATCCAAAAAAGATCTCTAAGCCACGTCAGCTGACTCCTTTGACTCCTCCAAGCTTCTCCTAGATGATCAGTTCAGCCGCTTGTATTCAGGAATTATTTATTCCGATCGAGGTCCAGATTTTGTGACCATATAGGTGAGGGTGGGAATATAGACTGCCTAATTGACAGCTTTTTAAAAACTTTTTTTCTTTACTCAACTTTACAATCACATGCTCTGTTATGCTTAACCGAATTATTATGGTGGACAGAATGTTGAAAAGCATTTTTTCCTATTACTACGGAAAATGTATTTTGAAATTCCTTGATGATATTTTATGAAAATCATTTAAAGTGATGTTTTCTGTTTTTGTTGAAGGCACCTGAATACATCCATGGGAATCATGTTGACAGCCGCAGCCTTGAAACTCTACGCCATTGGAACGGCATTTTATGTACTTGTACTTTTTTATGGGATCGCAGACTCTTTCGGGGGGCTCATGTATCCCCAGAACCACCACTACATCCACGGACTGGACCAACAGACACAGAGGCAGATCCCCTCCAGGACCCACCTACAAGGACCGTCTGTGACGAGAAGGATTGGCTCATAGAGACTTATTAATGCTGGACATGTTTGGATCTTTTCTTCATTTTCAAGAGATTGTTGATTGTATGTTTCTTCAGCCACTGTAAAGAAAAATGTGCAGCTATTTTACAGAGAAGTTACAAAGTTATAGCAGCACTACTGAACAATTAGCACTAAAAATAGAATATTTTTGTAGCTGTTTCTGAAATAAAATGTTTTTTAATTTTTGTTTATTGAGTTTGAATTCATCATTATATCTTTATGACCCGTTTTATAAGACAGTAAAAGGAAATCAGACCAAGACCAGGCTTGATCAACTAGTCCTGACAATGTCTGAGCAAAACAGGTCTGAGCAATAGCAGTTTTTTTCTCATACAGAGTGTGTGCCTTTAATTGCCGGTGTGAAAAAAAGCTGTTTGAGATAAAGGACTTGGGAATAGAGAACTTTTTAGATACCTAGAATCTAATTTGGCTTGGATATTTTACTGTTCTCTGAGGTTCAGATTGTCTTTTTCAGGAAGAGGGAAAGTTGAGCATTTGGGAATAAGTGAATGGAGACATTTTGGATGGTGAACCATCCCATGTTGATGAGATAAAGGCATGACACTTCTTTTAAAGAGTTGAGCAGCATGTGTGTACTTTTGTTTTGTTTTTTTTCTCTATGACATTATTAGAAACCAGCACCAACTTGTCCTAATAGTTTGGGTGAGTAAGTCGTTTTTTTTTTTTTTTTTGCTTAAAGGTCAGAGCTATCTTGATCGTGTCAGATCTGACTCAGAGCTATGTTATGTGTTCACACATTTCACATCTCTCATCAAGCCCACAAAAAAAGAAAGTTTGCCTATTCCTAAGAAATAACCATTTAACATTTTCTTGTTGATATTTACATGGGCCATTTTGATCAAAAATACAGTTCCATCTATTTAGACAACTGTCTCATATTTGTTATTTATTTATTTTTTTACAGTGTCCTGTCTGGCAATGTGGCAATAAGAATAACTGTCTTGATGCCAAAAAGAACCCAACAGATTTTACTTTCCCAAGTGAAGCAGGTGCCATAGGGTTTTGCTTGTTTCATCCATATAAATTGCTTTATTATAATTATGCAAGGAGTCTTACAGATTATATGGACACTGCAATGCAAGTAGAACAGAAGAGGAAAAACAGAAAAAAAANGTGTTACCTGAAGATAAGAATATGGGCTTCCTGTATGGAAGTGAATCTGTCTCAGATTTAAATTAAAATGAGGGGTGATTAAAGTACAGTTGAATGTGGCAGGTGTATTTCTATCTCAAATGCTGAATGTGGACCCATCTCTGGGTTTATGGAGAAAAATCTGAAAAAAGGGACATATCCTTGGACAATATTGTTTTAAAGAGATCAGACCATAAATAGACAGAGTGGTTTGAGATTATAAAAAGGCAACAGTAACTTAAATAATCCCTTTTTTGACCAAGGTATACGAAAGTATAATTTCTGACCACACAAGAAACTGTCCTGAAGCATGCTGAGGCATCAAACCATATCGAGTGCCACTTCTGTTCCCTAAGAGAAATGCTATCTGGATCCAGTAGATTAGATTTAGAATGATTCGGAAAAGGATTTACAACACTGACATGCAGCTTATAAACCTGCAGGTACTGTTCAATGTTATCACATACAGATGGACCAAATTCATTGTCCTGTTCTTGAACAATTCTCTATTTCTTTATTGGTTTGTATTCCTCTGTGCTCTGTTCAGCTCTCACCAAGATTTTAAAACAGATTGAAGTCTGTGAACTGAGATGACCCAAAACATCTGTCTAGTTTGACAATTCTGAGTTAACCTGGCCATATCTTTGGGATTGTAGTCTTAGTAAAGGACCTAAGATCAGGTTTTCAGTAGGGATATTTCGATCTGATTATCATATTGAATAGCGATCCGATATTAGCCAAAAAAACTTATATTGTATTTTATGGGCCGGTACCTAAAATTTCTGATCATTTCATGCTGATAGAAACACTCTTCTGTTCAATGTTTCTGTAATATAGGTTATTTTTTACAGGGGTCAGTTGTTCTCATACCTTTTGTTGACTTTTGTTCCCTGTTTTCGTCATATAACTTGACCAAGCCTTTCCTAACATTCTACAGTATAAAATAAGGACAGTTGGAATGATTCTTGCTAATACAGTATCGGGCTAATAGCTGTATCGGTCAATTCCCAAACCAGCAAAAACAGCTTCGTATCTAAGATGAAAAGTTGTATCGGGACATCCCTAGTTTTCTAGAAACAGCCACTACATTTTAATATTCAGTGCAATGTTGCTAAAAGATTCTGTTATGTTTATCTTACGGATGGCAACAGTTAAATCTCCAGTAGAAAAATTTTCCTCTTCCTGCCAGCATCAAAGAGAAATGGGATGTTACATCATTCAGTTACATTTTTCTAAAGGTAAATTTGGAGCAACGCCAATAGTAATACTGGTATTACTAGTGTTGCACTGATACCAGTATCAGGCGGGGCCCCGATCCAGCACTAAAATGGTGGTATCGGTATCAGTGAGTACCGAAAAATAGGACACTGATACCACAAACGTTTATACAACTATTCTCACCTATTCCAGGTAGGCTATAAAAAGTTCCACTGGATTCACTTTGTATTAGTCTTTTTCCTGCTTCACAAAGGTAGGCAGCAGCTTGACAAAGCCAATTGTTTTACATCCAAGTAGTATGCAGTTCTTCATATATATACACACACACACCAATTTCGAACAGATGGTATCGATATGGGCCAATACTGCACAGCCAGGTATCGAATATCGATATCAGGGCCAAAAAATTGCATCAGTGAGACACTAGTTATTACAACAACAAAAAAGATTTTTCTTTATACCATTTTAAAAATTGCACTGACATTTTTTTCAGTGCAAAGTTATGTAATTATGAAATAATATACTCTGATGAGGAATGGTGTAAAGAAATGGCTAGAATTGCATGTTGACATTTACTAAATTTAAATGAAATTTTCATTCAAGAAGTATCTAATTTTATTGGATATCCATGACTGGATGTTTTTTTATATTTATTCAAAGAGGCAAAATTGTTTTCTATGGTTGAATCTCTTTTAAAGGTAAGTTAATCATCTTGCATTTTTCTTCAGGTATGCTTCATCCCTCTGCTTTATCAGATGTCAAAAGCCTTCTTGCTGACGTTGTGTTTCCGCTTCTTAAAGTTTATGACGCAGGAAACGTAACAACGCTCATCTAAGCCAGACATAATGTTCAACTGCCTGTCTTGGCTGGAGATATAAAAAAAAAAATTAGCCAGGGGCAGGACAGCTGCTTTTGTTAATTTCTCACAGAAGATTTCTGCTTGGAAAGAGGTGACTTTAAAAGCACTCCTTGTCTGAACATGTCCTCCTCTTCGTATCTTGTAGGTACATAAACACAAATGAAAGCTTGTTGGTCCAATCTCAAGATCTCTTAAAGTGCTTTGGCACCTGAAGCTCACCTGGTTGAGTCATGAAAAGATTAAAAAAAAACATCAGCTCATGTTTCTACTTGTCCAACATAAGCAGGGGGCATATATAAACATTCTCATTGCTACATTACTTTTTCTTTTTCCCCCCATTAATCTTATTTGCTCCATATATCTTGTCTTACCCAGCCTATGGAGGGATCAGTAACTGTCTGCTGGACGAATGTCAAGTCAGCAAGTTTTTCACATCAGTGTGAATATATATATATATATATATATATATATATATATATTGCAATATTTTAAACCCATATGAATTAATTGCTGGGGCTTATTTAAGTTTTGACCATAAAATATGAGTATAATGAATCTATATAATGCAATTTTTACCTTTATTGGTGATTTTATGAGAACTGCCTGCCATGATTTTAAGGATCTGAGTTGACTCAGACACAACCACAAGCCAAGAGACAGATTAAATGAAGCTTTCTTTAATTAGAGAATATTGACAATAGACCTTCATGAAAGAAAATATTTGAAATACATTTTGAAAGAATTAAAACCTATTAATAAACACACTATTAAAATAAAGGATGTGAAAGACAAGGTTACTCAAAAGTGACCATCAGGCGAGCAAAGATTGGTTTACATCATTTTGTGTTGAAATGTTAATCCTTCCTGTAGGTCACATGGATGCGGGCAGAAGCACCAACTCCCTTAACGCAGCAGTTTATGTTAATGACCCATTGAAACACACCCCACCCCTGCTGGCTGTCAGAGCGCAGCACCTGTAACTGAGCCAGTACCTGCAGGGACACCGGTCACTCTATTTTCCTTCACCTGAGGGGCCCCTGATTCTCTGCTGACATGATCTGGACCTCTGCAGTCCTTGGCGGGATGTGCGTCCTCCAATTTGCAATGCTTCTCAGAGGTGAAGTCAGCAGCAGCAGCAGCCCCTGGGGCAAGACGGTCACTTTCCGCAGGGAACAAAGGCCCCCACGCCCACGGAGGGACACCAGCGGCTCCACGGAATCCTCAAACACCTCTCACGGTCCTGCCTTCACCTCCTGTCGGCTGCCCCTCACCCCGAATGAACACAAGATCCTGGATGATAACACCCAGGAGGTGAGAGTGCTGCTATGTGAAAAAAAAAGTCAACTGTTAATAAGTAATAATTAATTGTTTGGAGTAGAGCTGCAACACAAAAAGAAGGCTGGTTAATGATTAAAATGTATATTTTTAAAGAGGAAAAAGTTAGATTAAGATCTTGTCATAAATGCAAAGGTTAAAGTCTTTTTTGTCTTCTTCTCCTAGACAGGGTTTAATGGTGATGATGGCTCCTATGTTATCCTCACATGGGTGGGTGATGGTACAGGAGTAAGTATCCTACATGGTTTCCTTCATCTTCATGCTGTTTTTCAAAAGCATTCTCTTCTTTTTCTGAAGCAGAACCACTTTATCCTATCAGTTAGATAATAAAATAATCACGCTAGATTAAAGAACATTTTTATGTGCTTTTCACTGGCTAAAAAACAAAAGAATTGCTCCAAACTAAGTCAAGCAGCGACATAGACTAATTAAAACAATTAAAAAATACAAGACTGAAGGAGTAGTAGTAGTAGAGTAAAGAAAATATAAAAAAAGGAAAAATATATATCTGAAATAATTACTAAAGAAGATTTATATATAGCAATGTCAAAAAATACAGTATAAATGACTCATGAATAGTTTTAACTGGGTAAATACAACATTTAAAGGGGAACTTTTTTTTCCCTATACACTTAAAAACACAAACACTTTTAAAAGCAGGTCTGTCACATAGGTCAGACTATTTTTATTTATTTTTTTATTTATTTTTTTACATTCTGGTCACAAAATCTTCTCAAAATTCTTGCTGCTAGATGTTGTAAACATCAACAAAGCTTGTTTTAAAGTCTTAGGTGTGCTTCAGATAATGAAATCTTTAATGTTTTAACATTGTTTTTGAAACTTAAACTTGAGTCAAATATTCATAGCAGTATTAAAATAGTAGTGTTTAAATTAGCTGCTTTCTCTGAGAAAATTTTTTCATGTTTGTATGGAAACAACACACTTGGAGCTCATTTTTATTGGGAAATTAAAAATACTGATATCACAGCTTTGAGTATTACTCGATACCGATACTGAACCGATACAATATAAACATGAATTATACATAATTTTATTACTTTTTTTGAGAAGTGGAGTATTAGAAAATGCTGGATTATGTGATATTACTCAAACAGGGAGCAATAGTGAACAAAATATGAGAACAACTGACCAATGTATTATTAACTATTATCAACTATTAACTATTATTAATTAACAAAGTGCAATGTTTCTATTAGTATGCTAATGAGTTACTACAATAGTTTAGTTTCCCTTTGGGCTTAATAAACTGACACTTAGACAGATTTATTTTGTCATTTTGTATACACAAGTGTATACAAAAGGAAATTTCGTTTAAAACAGCTATAGACAATTTCATTTTTTTTAAGTGAAGCCTTGAAAACAGTAATACATACATATAAAATAGTAATATATAGTCATATAAAGATATGACTGTATAATAATAATAATAACAATAATAATAATAATAATATATAAAAAAATTATATGTTTTTTTATTGAATATCAGGGGTTTTAGATGCAGGCTGATTTATTTGAGTATTCGTTTTTTTGGCTGATATCAGACCAGTTTCTGTAATTCACTCTCATTTTCTCCTACATATGCCAGGTAATCTTGGTACTGTCAACAATCAGTGGTCCACTTGATTCACACCTTACAGGCTCGTCTCGACTTTATCGAAGGTGAGACATATTTTTACCTGCACATCAGTCCTACTCAGAACAGAGCTTTAATAATTTTCCCTTCCATTTTCCCCAAAGCACGGATTATGGCAAAAGTTTTCACGACATCTCTCACCGCATCAACCACACCTTCATCAAAGAGGAGTTTGGAGTCAGTGTTGGACCAGGAAGCTCGGTGAGTAAACAGTGTCCCAGGAGTTTACATGGTTGAAGAAAGTGCTGCTGAACATGGGGTTCTCTGAATTCCTAGCATATGTTTGATAGAAAACAACTTAAGGCTTGGGATGGTTTAAAGTTTGAGATACGAGGAGTCAGACTGAAAGTAGTTTGTTCCTGTTGCAAGTGGTTGAGGATGTGTTGCCACGCAAAAAGTATGAGGACAGCTTCCCCGTTTGCAACTCAACTCTTCCCTCTTAAGTTACCACATATCCATTCGCCACTTTTTCAATATCTTTGTAGAAACCTCATGCTTGCAGTTAGTTCTTCTTTTGGGTGTCTTTTGCTACTGTAAAAAAAAAACAACAAAAAACACAATTTTTGGTGTCCACTTGACCCGTGGATAATTGCAGCTCCCCCAGAGAACCCATAGCTCTATTGAGTGTTATTTTCTTCTTCATGAACTCTAGGGCTGCAAGATTATTTTGCAAATTGATTAATCTGTCGATTATTTTTATGATATGTCGTTTAATAATCGGATAGCCAAAGGTTCCTTGAAATAGAATTTTTTGCTAAATGAAACTAGGTGAAACTAAAACCTTTCCACTTGAGGAGTTGTGGATAGAGCATATTGACAAAAGAAAAAATGTTTTAATCTTAACAATCTTTACAATTTTGGTATAATAAGTGCCCTAAGTGGGTCACTCTGTAAGCTAAAGGCATGTTTAAAAGTCAGATTAATTATTTTAGCCCTAATACACTCAATACCTTTAACAGGTATTGGAGTAGAGAGGGTTAGAAATAAGCATGTGGCATATGTAATGGATTTTTGTTTGTTTATAAAGTGAAATTCCCCCCAAAATACATTGCAGTTTCTCATTGTGATGTAAAATGGGAAGTTTCAAGCTGTGTGCATGTATGCTCAGATATATCTGTTTTTAACTTATTTTCATTGCAGGTGATACTGACTGCAGACACACCAGTAGTGGACCACCCAGGAGGGATCATCTTCACCTCTACAGATGCCGGAGCAACTTTCCACTTAATCCAGCTGCCCTTTCACCTGGCTCAGCCCATCACCTACCACTTTTTCAACCCTGATTACTTGGTGGCCCTCAGCATAGATGTAATCGTTTCAGAATCTTCGCTTCCTGCTCATGTGCTTGTGTTTTTAACTGTGGTTTCCTTGGCTTGGTTTGATATTCTCTGTCGACTCACAGTCAACATGCGAGGTACACATATCGAGAACACACCCTAAAGAGAAAGCAAACAGTTTCTGTTTTCTGACTTGCAGGGCGGTCTCTGGCTCTCTCTGGACTTTGGTGCTAAGTGGACAAAAGTTCATGATGGAGTTTTCTCTTTTCAATGGTGAGCATAAACAGGAAATGGTCTCTCTCCTTGTAGATTACTGAAGGGCTAATATACAAGAGTATTACACGTCATCTGGCAATTAGGAATGAATGTATTTAGGATGTTGCAATATGCAGAAATAGAGCATCCTGTAAAGTATTAAAGGAAGAATATTGTGACATTCCATGTGTTTTTGAAATGTTTTAACTTCCTGTTTCCATCAGGGGAGCAGGCATAAATTTGTTCTTCAGCTACAGCCACGTCGATGCAGGTAAAAAAGCTAGAGGGTATTAAAAGGGGAGTCACAAACAAATATTTTAAATGGGTTTTGTTAGTTTTAAAAGGACAAAAAAAACTTTGCTCAAACCAAAGGTAAAGTGTTATTGAGCAAATGTAAAGATTTAACGATTACATATATTTCATTTAAAAGGTTCATGAGAGTTTAAATGACATTGAATTATAATGCATTAATAATTTAGAATGTAGCAGTAACTTATTGACATTTAAATTATCCTTAAAAAATTTGAGTGATTTTAATATGTTTATTTATTATTTTCTTAACACTTTCTCTTGTACCGTTTGCCAGTTAATAACTATTTTAATAATTTTTGTGACATATCCATTTAACCTTCACATTGCACTGAATGAACAAAAACCAAAACTACACAGTTAACCACAAACACAATCTTCATGATTCCAAAAAAATTAATTAATTCATCTCTAGATTAATTTAAGTTTAAATAAAGTCAAATACAAAATGATACCTCTTATTATTTCACATGAACTATACATTTATAATAATAAGGTTATCAAATAATCATGTAAGAGTTAAAGATTTAGTTCAACTTTATCCAATGATTTTTATGTCTATTTATTAAAATTGTGATTCCACTGTGTTTCCACTACTAATGAGTTCAAACTTACTATTTTGCTTTCTTTTATTCTATTCCTATTAGTTGAAGCAGAAGAAAGAGGGGATTTAGTGTTGAAGAGGACAAAAGATCTTGGAAAGACATTCACCATAATTCATGAAGACATCTTCGGTTTTGGTTACATAGGAGCTTTTCTCTTCTTCTCTGTGATGGAAGATCCTGTAAGATGGGGTTGCATGAAATTATCCTTTAGCACCAAAATTATAAAAATATCCTTCCCTATACATTTTATTTGACATCCTGTTTTGCTTCCAGGGGTCTCCCCGTGTCATGTACTTTTCATCAGACCAAGGAGACACCTTCAGTCAGGCTCTTCTGCCTTCTGCATCTACAGAGCAGGTGAGAAAAACAGAAATATTTGGATTTGTTGCTTTGGGATGTTACGATCAGGAGATTTTGACTGATAGATGTTTTAAACAACTTTATTTTTGGCTCCTTCTAACTATTTATCAAGTGGGGCAATTTGCTTTGGTTCTAGGTTAACATTTGTATGTTTACTCTCTAGTTTGATCCTAATATGTTCATAGCTTATTATGATTCCATTACATGCTAAAAAAGCATGTACAGTCATTCTTCAACTTCGGAAAGAAGTTTTGATAGCTGTCTGAGCGCAGTGCAGGAAGCATATTACATCATATAGAGAGCCTGGGTGCAAATGGGAAGAACCATTTCAATTTCATAAGATCAGCAAGATGATTGGAATGGTAAAGATTAGCAAGCTGTAAAATGTGTTTTTCTTTTAAAGGTGCTCATGCAAATCAGGGCTGGCACAGTCCTTTCTCCTTGAATAACATGAAGTCAGAGACATAACATCAATAGTATACTGGGGGTTAAGTTTTGCTAAAAAAAAAAAAACTTTTAAGATGCTTGTTATCCCCCTAAACACACCTCTTACAAGTGTCTGCACCGTTTGATCTAATTTCTTAAAAAAATATGATCCCCGACTAGAGAGTCTGCTGACAGACCAGGAGATTTGGGAACTGGAGAATTCATGTAGAAGTTCTGTATATAGTAGAAATCCAGCTATTCTGCAACAAAGATCAGGTTTATAAACAGAAGCAAGGCTGTACATAAACACAAAACTGTATTTGTTGCTTGAACAAAGCAAAACAAGTCTTTCACTTCCATGATCATAATTGTATAATGTTTAAGTTGCGATTTGGCCATTTCATTACAGTTATGCTTGAAAGTTTTCATACAGACAGAGAAAAATCATCTGACAGTAAAATAAATGCAAAATGAAAAAGTAATAATAAATAGAAAATCATGACATTGATTCTGAATATATATATATGTATATATATCTCCGGCAGTCAATGGGCGAGAGGCAGGGTACACCCGTGACAGGTCGCCAGCCCATCGCAGGGTAACACAGAGACACACAGGACAAACAGCCATTCGCGCACACACTCACACCTAAGGACAATTTACCTAACAGTCATGTTTTTGGATTTTGGGAAGCCGGTGTACCTGGAGAGAACCCATGCATGCTCAGGGAGAACATGCAAACTCCATGCAGAAAGACCCTGGGCTGGGAAACAAACCCAGAACCTTCTTGCTGCAAGGCAGCAGTGCTACCCACTGCGTCACAGAGCAGCCCATATATGAAACAGTAAATATAAAAAATAAATTAGAATATATTAGAATAACTAGTGTTAATTTATAATTTTCTTTAATGGGAGGGTATGTAAACTTTCTGTTTTGAGGGAATTGACTGCCTAGTGGTTAGGGCATTGCGCATGGAATCCAGAGGTTCTGAGTTCAAGCCCCACTCCCACAGACTGCCAGTCTGGGTCCCTAAGCAAGATCATTGCTCTGTACTTGTGACAGTGTAATGACAACAAAAGCTGAAAAAAAAGAAACTTTCAAGCACAACTATATATTTTCCCCCAAAGCTGTTTTGTTTCACTTTGCTAGCATGTCTCACTACCTGTCTTACTTTAAACGCTGCATTGGTCTGACCAAAACAGACACCTGGTCTTTTTTCATCAGACTCTTGGTTTTTATTACTGACTCACAGTTTTTTAGTTGTGTAGAAGTTGAAAGTGTTTCTATTTTCATGCCTAGTCTGTTGTTGCAGATGGCCCAGGGCTCTGTCCAAAGCATCTTTAGTTAAAGTGCAATCTGTCCTTTCCTCAGTCCTCACATGTGAACTTAGTGAGAGATTTTGCTGCAAATAAAAAAACTCTGGACAATAAACTGTCCCTTGTTACTACATGCTTGTTTAGAAAAAAGGATTGCTAAGTTTGACAACATCATTTTATAACCGAGATCAAATGTGAATTTATTAAATGGACTTTGAAACTGTATATATATTATTGGGTCAAATTGCTTAAATCAATATGTAAGATGAGTTAAGCTGCAAATCTGCTTTGACATGACATTTGCTGTGATGTTCTGGTATACAAGTTAACCATATTAGATAAACTCATATAGACTTAAATGTTGTCCCTTAAGACATAAAAACTATTATTTCACTCTTACTTAATTCATTTTTCTGTTTTTTTCTGATGAAATGGATGAATAAATATCAATATATTCTTTAAAATCTGATTGAATTATATGCTGAAAGTTCTTCCTGCTTTGGTCTTTTTGGCCATTATTTCAACAGGCTAGCTTAAAACAAGAACTGCAACATTTCCTTTTTTCCAGCACTCCCTAAATACACACCTGCCCTAATGAAACTCAGGCCCACACATTATGTTGACACTGCAAACACAGACGTTGTCTCACAATGATTACTCCGTGTTTATGAGGAAGAAATTAAATTAGTCATCAAAAAGAAAACAATCAGCAGTTCTAGATTTTCACACCCTCATGCTGTCTTTCCCTGGATTTGTGTGTGTGTTTGCAGTTTTACTCCATCTTGGATGGGGACAAGGACATGCTGTTCATGCACGTGGACACACCAGGAGGTACAGTAGTGCAGAAACGCACAGGCCATCTCCTTATTTATGTTTTGTTTTTAAATCTGAAAACAGATAACCAAAAAGTAATAAAACAAGCCTGACTTACTGGTATGGCAGCATTTCCTAAAAAATGAGAACGTATAGCCTTCTTATCTGCTTTGCTTTGTGATGGAAAAAGTTGAAAAGAAAGGCCAAACTGGTTCCACTACTTTTCGCTTGCTGACAAATCATCTTACCTTATTTCATACGTATGCATACAACTTCAATTTCTAATGATTTCTTTTTTTTTCAACTTTTTTTCCCTTTTCCTATATTTTTCCCACTCACTCAAACTTTCCCAACTCTTTTTTATCAAAATAACTCATACATATGATCCAGGAGGTTATTTATTGTGAACATAATGGGACATTTGAACTGTAATGATAAATAGGGGAGACATGTGGGCAAAGGGGGCTTTATCTTTTTTTGGATGCGGGGAGGGGGAATTAGGTTGCACTGCAAAAACTGCCAACCTTGTCAGTGGATCAGGGTGTAACCAAAGCAACACACACAAATGCACTTGATGATGTCTATCTTGTCTTTGTCCTTCAAATGTTTGGCCAACACGTGTGCAAGAATCACTCATGCAACATCGGATTGATGACAAATAGCTGCGTCTGTTTTGTGTCTGCTTGTTATTTTCTGCTCTCTCTTAGACATTATTTCTGTATAAAAACTTCAGAATCTACATTCCTGCTATAGTATAATTTTTTTTCTTACAGAAACTTTCTTTGGAACTATGTACACTTCAGATGACCGGGGAATACTGTTCTCCAAGTCGCTGGAGCGACATCTATTTGATGGACAAAGGAAAAGTGATTTTACAAACATTACCTCACTGAGAGGCGTTTATCTAACTAATAAATTAGACATTGGTAAGTGTCTTTATCAATCAGCTCTCCTAACATGATTAATGTGCATAAATACTCTCTTGATATTATTTTTTCACAATGTTTTAAGTATGAACCGTGATATAAAAACAAGGGCTAAAACAATTAATCAAATTAATCATGATTAAGAGATTATTCTAATAATTGTCAACTAATTTGGAAACCAATAATTGTTAACTGGAGTTTAGAAAATGTAAATTATTCCTTCAGGTGACAGATTAACCAACCCTTGACCAGAAATTATACAAACATTGTAAAAAAAAAATAAAAAAATAAATATATATACAGTATAAAAATTTTACATCTAAGATTTAGTTTCACCTGGGTTAATTAATAAAATTCTTCTTTAGGGAACCTTTTGCTATCCGCTTATTAATCAATTAATCAAACAAATAATCAACAGATTAATCGATTTGCAAAATAACCAGTAGTTGCAGCCCTAATAAGAACTACTGTAAGAGTTGATAAAAAAATAAGAAACAGTCTTTGTAAAATATGAATCCTCAAGTTTTAAATCCTTTCCTAGAGTGAGAGTGGAAGTATACTCTATCTATTCAGATATGTGTATTGTCATCATAATTAGAGGTATACAATTGGGATGTCATCAGGGAAAGAAATAGCTCTAGACCTAATCCCTTGTCAGGATTTTTATTTAATTGGGAAGACCAATCTCACATCGTCATCATTGCTTTGATTTGTTTGTATTGAACTTATATCCAGATACAAGACTGTAAAGTAGAGCAGGAATAGATGTATAATGATCCACTAAAAATATTAGTATATTGTCAGAAAAAAGAGACAATTTGTGTTGAACATTTTGTTTATCACATATTCCCCTAATGAGAGTGTTGGGCCAAACCTATTCTGCTAACAGCTCTATGCTGAGTGCAAATAATGAGGGTGACAATGCGCCTTCTTGTCCGTTCACCCTGATGAGGGTCTGTGGAGAGACATTTCTGACCACTTGGGCAAATACTTTCTCAGCATTCTCAGCATCAAGGCTAATGACAGATTAATTTAAGGCTCTTCTGAGGTTATCGCTTCTCTGGCTTTGTATTATGGACCCAAATGGGTCTGGTTTCACATGTTTGCTCATATGCTTTTGATTCTGTTAGCATACATTAGGTGAGTATTTTTAGATCAACAGAAATCTGACTAATTGGGTGCATTATGTTGGGTCCTTTGATTTGGAGCATTGAGTTGAATATTTTTTTAAAAACACCATAGTTGCCTATATTATCATCAGAACTACTCTTTATTGCACATTTAGTAAATAATTTCCCTAAAAAGGTGTACAGTCTTTCATTATTTTTTGCTGGAGAGGTCAATAGACCCTGTCTCCTCTTTTGTAAATCCTTTATTTTTTAACATGCAGTGAGGATTTAGTCTTGCTCAATAACTCCGAAGTTTCCATAGTTATTTGGCCACAAAACAAGCACAGATTCAAACATGTTTGCCACCACCTGAGGCCTGTACCAAGAAAAAGGGGGTTAGGCAAAGGGCGTAGGTTTAACTTCAACTTTGGTAGGGACACTATTGGTCTGATGTCATTGGTCAAATGCAAAAATATGCATGCTCGCTTTTTTATGCTTGACCTGAAAATCAGGGTGTATTTTGTTTGAAGAGAAAAGCAGCATTTCTTGCTACAGTTGTACAAATTTTATAGGTGCTACACACACTAGATGCTGTTTATCAGTGTTTAAGGCATCATCGGCTCTGATAAATGAGGAATTATGACTTTTTTCCACTTTGAAAAGGTTTGCATTTGAAATTACCAGCGAATAAGACAGAAAGTAAATCTGTGCCTATTTAACAAAATATGTCTGTTATATGTGGATTTATACTGTTTCTCTTTTGAAGATATACAAATGTGCAGAGGTAAAACCCACTTTTATCTTTCAAATATTCTCTCTGTATCATGAAACAAAGTAAAATAATAGATTCAAGGGACACTAAATAAATTTATAGTATTTACATGATCACTGGAACTGACACTGAGCATTTAGAATATTAAATTCACTCTACAGGTCATCTAGGCTGTAGTTACTCTATTTAACCCATATCATGTATTTTATCTTGGGATGAAACAATTCATCGGAATAATTAATTATTGAAATGTCAACAAATTTAGTAATCAATTAATCGTTAACTGGAGTATAGAGACTCTAAAACATGTTTTTAGCTCACAGAGCGACCCACTTAAAGCAGGAATTATACCAAAATGGTAAAAAAAAATATATATAAAAAAAAAAATGTTCTCCTCTCACAATATTCTCCATCCAGACTGCTGGAACAAAGCTGTATTGTAAAATATAAACATGTTATTCACATCTAATTGTTGGTAGGGACAAGTAGGTAGGTCCAAAATTTTGGTAGGGACATGTCCCTATGGTCCCTATGCAAACCTACGCCCATTGGTTAGCCAGATAACTTCCACCTTAACCCTGACTTTGTGGTACTATCAAGCTGAATTCCGACTTAATGAGGCTAGTTACCATGGTAACGTACTCTTAAAGCAAGCTAGCTTTCAGGATTGATCTGAATCCTAGAAAACAATCCACCCAGCAGCCAATCAGCTGTTTTGGAAGCAATGATATGTCCTTTCAATGAAGACCAGAACAGTATAACTGAGAAGGGAAAATTTATACTGAAGCTGCAGCACCGATGGGGGATTTACGGCAAACCGACAAGTAAAAAAACAAAAATAAAAAATAAAATACTGGGATTAGTAGGGTTACTGGGAAATGGAACATTTATCAAACAGAGAAGAGAGTTTATATGAGATTCAAAATCCTCCAAATTTTTCTTTAGGATGAAAAGATATTGAGGTATTTCTGTACATATCGGGCCTCATTTGAGGACTATCACTATTTTAAAAGCAGAGTTGATTTTTACCTTTTGTCCTGCTGAGTTCTGACACAGCTCAAAATCAGGATGATTTCATTCAGATAATCCACTTCTTGTATTAATATGATGCAATTGTGGCATCAACTGTCAGCTTTATGGTAGCCCAAACATTACTGAATTAAAAAGTCAAACTAACCAAATTAAATTATCTTTCTGTGTTTTATTTTTATCTGCTGCCAAGACCTCTTCAATCCAGAGGGGCATGCAATCAATATGCAGTACAGAGACTGGTATGCAGGCTGTCTTAAATGACACTAATGTGTAACATACGCATTTCTTTGGTGTCTCTTTCATGCAGCCACTCTAACTGACTTTTCACAGAGACTTTTTTTTTGGATTGAGTTAGCGAGTTGATAACCACCGCTGATCCAGATTGCCACTGTGATTGATTGGTCAAACTGGATAGACTGGATGTAATCCTGAGCTCGCTTTGTGGTACAGGCCTGTCATTTAAGGTCTTTGTATTGATGCACAGTGTTAGTTCTTTTACCAAAACCACAATTACAAACATCCCATTTCCAGATGTCGTTCGGTTTATTTAGATAAAGGTTTGCCATTTAAAGAATTTTATCTCCTTACATCATTCCAATCCTTTCAAGCAAGCCATCCTTATCTGGCCTTTTTCTATTTGTAGTGTAGTGAACACTATCAGTTCACAAGCAATCTGGAGCTATTAAGACTCGATTTATTTTTTTAAGTGTCCCAGGGCATTGCACTGAATAAACCTGTTGAGCTTTCGTTTCTGGGAACTCTGGCAATTGGATCGTCTGGCTACTCGGAAACATTTCAAATGGCAAGACTTTTTTCCATTTGTGAATGCTATTTTAGAGGTATAATTGTGGATGCCAACAATTTGGAAAGGAGACTTACAAAAAAAGTCGCCCTTCTCTGAGATTATTTTTAACGCAATTTCTCCAAGTAAGACAGACAGCCTCATCTTTAAAAAGCCACTTTTGCTTTCTGATAATCATTTAATAAGAAACATCTGGATTATACTTATAGCCTTCATTGTAAAGAGTGTAATGTTTTCTATGAAAACGTTGAGGTACAGTATTATGCACTTCATCTGAATTTGTTTTTTTTGGTCTATTTCAAGACCTGGAAATGTATCAGGAAAAGATCCTTCCTTCCTTCCTTCCTTCCTTCCTTCCTTCCTTCCTTCCTTCCTTCCTTCCTTCCTTCCTTCCTTCCACTGTT